AATTTATAGTAATTAGAATTAATATTAATATAGAATTAGTATTCTTTTCCGATCAGCTGGCTTTGGTTCACAGTGTAAACAGAAGACAAAGTCACAACAAAAATTGTATTTTAACGCCCATGGGACATGAGATATAACATAGTCTACCAGCAACAACATATCCTTTGCACTGTCATACTAGCGAGATTGATCAATGTGTTACCAATTAAAATTTACATGGGGACCATAGAATCCATGCCCAAATGGGAAGAAATATTGTTACGAAGTTTAACTCTTTAAGCCACCACAAAAAGACTTAGACTTTGTAACTATGGATTCTATCAACGCAGATGAGCTTTCATTCAAATATAGGAAGGTCCTGGGTTCGAGTCCTGACGTGCCACCGATCTTGTGCCCTTGGGAAAGACAGTTTACACGACTTTCCTCACTTCGCTCAGGTAAAAATGAGTATTGTATTGTCCCCTGTGTTGGTGGCGGCATTAATATATGTTGAAAAAACTTGAGTGTGCCGTCACCACGTCTTGTGATTACATGTTGGAATATTAAAAAATATGGGAAGAAATATTCTTCGACTAGAAAAGCAAAATTTGCAAAGCAAATGCATAATGTTTACCTGCGGATATGGTCAGCCCTGTTAATTCTTACTTAAACACATTCACATACATGTATATGGTGACAGGAGTATAAATGCCTGCTATGAAATTGCAACATCATGTAACCCAACACTAGTTACTATGGTGACGGACGTCAACAAAAGAGGCCATTGGCCAGGTCAGAGGTTAGTGTTTGGAACAGAAGAATTAATGGAGCAAAAACAATTATTATTATGTTTTCCTTCGGTAAACATAAAAAATCTGGACCCACGCACCTCTGTCTGAGGGCTGCAGCGTCCCGACCACTGGTGGGCAGAAGTTGTAACTGTCCTGACAGCAGCTGACTGTGATGATCCATGAACCGTTGCAGCTGAGGCAGCCGGCAGCACATCTGCAGAAGTGTGTCGGTGGCTCCCAGCTCACTCAGGCTGGAGATGTTAGCAGACATCCAATACTTGGCCAGGTTACTACCAGCTGTGGCAGACCCAGAGGCTTCGGCTGATAGGTACACAGGATACATGAAAATTACATCAGACTTAAAGTCCTAAAGAGCTGCTACACTACGCTGAACCATATACATGTAAAATAATGTACAGTACTACCCTGCATACAATTCTTACATGACATGTGCTACTTAGTTGATGAATGACTGATAAATGCCTTTCCACAGGTAAAGCCTTGGTCACAACCCGCCGTACGTGCTTCTGCGTGCTGTCTACGTGCAAAAACGTGGGCAAACGCAGGGCATTCGTGCATGGTGAGTACCACCTCCGTACGGAATCCTACGGATTTGGGAGCACGCAGACACGCCATAGAACTTTAAGCTCATGTAAAACTTTTTCTGCGTGCGGTCTACGGATTCACCAACCGTGCGTGCGAGTACGGGCGACACGCGTGCCCCGTGTGTACCGTACGTAAGAAGCACGTGTGAGTACGACCTCCTTACGGTAAAGTTGCAATCGCACAGAGATCGTACGCTGTAAGCACGTACAACTCACTTACCACTTGTGCAACGTACGATGCACGCAACCGCTCACGACCAGACGTGGCATGCAGACTACACTCTTACACCTTGCGCAACCGTGCAAGTGACGTGGGTCGACGCCACTCCTTCCCCACATTTTCAGAAAAAACGTAGCAGACGTAGCCTCCCAAAAAACGGACTGTACATGTATGTAGACAGCAGGGCTCGAAATTAAAAGTGGTCCAATGGGTACTGACCACTAAAATTTAGGCTAGGACAACTAAATAGACACTTTGGGAAATTTTTGGGACAATTGAAAAATAATCAACATCAGAATGTCAGCCCTTCTTTCATTTATCAGGCACACGTCCCAGCTTTTGGAAAAAGTTCCCTGTCTACACTGCAATTATAGTGCGCTTGGGAGTGAACATAAGCAAAATAAAGTTGTCTTCAACTTGTTGTCATACAAACTTCCCAAAAACAGGTTGGGACAGTTCCTCATCACTTCAGGACCATTGAAATCTATATTTTGGGACAGTGTTGAGACAATAGGAAGAAAAGTTCATTTCGAGGCCTGAGACATACCTTCTCCTTGGTCCATGGCTCCGTCTTCTGTCTGACACTCAGGAGGGAGGCTGGACACAGTCAGCTCCTCCAGCAGGTCTCCTGATGGGACAACCTCGGCTTTCTCTGTATCAGCCTGGGACGGCCGGTCTGGCATGGGGGAAAAATGATTTAATCAAAAGTTATAGGGCCTATTTTCAGATGAGATGAGTCTACAGTCCAGGCCGATGCTTGTGCATTCACCAATGATATTTCTCAGAAATGTACAGAATAGTAATTGTGAACAATTTACAAGAGGCTGGTATTCTTTAAAAGGCTGAGTACCTTCACCAATAAGGTTCAGTTTTCAGGGTCATTCACTTGTGTGTGTGTGTGTCTGTCTGTTTGTTTGTCTTATTTTCATGATGAGAAACATTCATGTACAATATGTCAGTCATAAAGGTTAACATTACAGTCAATCCTGTACTAGCGGTCACCTTTGTATAGTGGTCACTCGGCCATAGCGGTCAGTTTTTGCCGGTCCCTTGAATTTTTCCCATTGACGTAAGCATTAAGAATCGTGTCTATAGCGGTCACTGTTCAACGCGGTCAGCGGTCACCCCATTCCGGTCCCGCCGCCATGTCAACACCGCCGATAGCGGTCGCGGCTGGCCGTAACCCGCTAAGCACCACGGCCGTAACACCACCCCACCTCAGGCTACGATCGTTATGAGCCTTGTGATAATTTTCCGATCGCTACATTACTAAAATGTGAACTGAAAATTAAACTCCATATGTGTATGAAATAAAGGAAAACTGGCTTTTGACACAAAGTTTCTGCGGTCGCGGGTGTCTTTGATATCTGCGTTTTCCCCAACACCAGTGCCGTGCGTGCCGCATGGAGCTTTCAATGGACTCGGCCGCTCGGCGAAGATTACGGCAATTATCTTTACAAAAAAACTTAAGAATATCCATATTTGGTTTCTCCATTCCTTGAAATGCGTAGATATGTGCATAGCTTCCGTTTTTCATGGGCATAATTCAAGAAATTTGGCTCGAAAATGCGCTTCGTATTTTTCCAAGATGGCGCATGTATGCTGCAGAGGGAGGTCAATTGGGGTCATCGGAAGACTCCACTGTTATGGAGGTAGATACACTGAGTTTTATTTAACTTCATTAGCGTCAAATGATGTAATTACATTATGAAAACATTTGAAATACATTACTACAAGTAATTTTAGATGTAAATTTAACACTGTAGTGGATATTTTAGAAAAGATATAAGTCTGAAAGGAGAAAATTTTCTGTTGACTACCACATTGGCATAATGGTAGAGGCAGACAACCCACGCGGGGAGAAACCCAAGCCGTAAACAAAGGAGAGTTTTCGCTAAGTTTTCATGTTCAAAAACGACCAAAAACGGAAAGTAACTGGCAACTGACGAACAATTATTTTGCTGTTAACTAAATAGACAGCATCTTGGTACAAAATAACTTATTTACGTGGTTGGAATTCGCTGTGGCGTATGTCGGTCGCACGAAGCAAGTGTTCACCAAAGAACAAAAACATGGCGATGTTGTTCTCTTCCACTTTTCGACTAACAACAACAACAACTACTAGTAACGTGGCGATTGCGGAGAAATGATGGCGAAAGCAGAAAGACGGACGCCGAACTTATTCCAAAAGGTGGAAGTGATCCGACTGGCAGAGAGAGTGAGCTTGAAGAAATCGTCGAAAGCTGAGCTTAGATTAAATGATTTTGCAGTCGATAGAAATTTGTTTGGAGTTGAAAGTTTGTTGCTTGATTTGCTTCCTTTTCTTTAGCCACATGTAGTACTAGTATGTACACAAGAACAGTACTGTAAATGACAACCAGTGATTTTGTATGTTTTAATGTAAATGGTTTCATTGTCCCAGAATAGATGAACTGAATATGTTGAGTGTATGTATCTTTGATGTCAAGTTAATGTTTCCATGCAATATTTCTGTATTTCTTTTTTTTTCAAGCAAGTACAAAATAAAGTACAACTTAAGCAAAAGAACAACAAATTATTGAACTAAGACATGTACATATAAAAGGGGTTTACCTTTGCAAATGTATGTATTCATATGTTTCAGAATAAAGACATCACTGTTGGTACTCAAAGCATGTGTCCCTTTTTTTTTGGGGGGGGGGGGTCAACGTAACCGGCTGTTTCTCTATAGTGGTCACCTGGCCATAGTGGTCAAATTTGGCCAGTCCCTTGAGTGACCACTATAGGCAGGTTTGACTGTATTTGGCAAGGTATGATGAGGTCATGGAACTCTTGTTGTTTCGTAAGTAAGCAAAAACAATAGCAGAATAGTGACATCCAACACAAATTTGCCAATTTCACAAAGATTTCGCCAGTTATTAGATTATTAAAAATCATAGCTGCCACACCCTTGAAAATAACATGGTCATCATAGGCAACTTTCAGTTACTGGTGGAACCAACTGGAGCTGGTTGTCTTCACAGAAGACATGTGGTCGTCTTGACACTGTGTTTAATCATCTGATTCATGTCCATGGGGGGAAAATTGGAGCCCGACAAGTTAGTAGTTGTCATAGGCCGAAGATCGACTTGTGGAGGGGTTTTTCTTCTTTTCCCCTATACTGTGTACATATATAAGGTGGGAAATATACTGTATATACAGGTGCAATGACCCAATGGGTAGAGTGTTTAGGGCAAGCGACAGGGCAAAAAAGAATAAAAATAAAAACAGGTTTAGGCATCCTATTATAGCCTAAATGGTACGATAGGAGCCATGAAGTCAAGACAAAATGCTGGGATGATATTCAAACAATGAATTTTGAACTTTTAATCAAACCACTGCATTAATAGATGGAAAAACTGTAACAAATAGGAAGAAAACAATGGACTTTCCTTCAACTGTCGGGGGCAAAATATCAGCATTCTTGAGTTGATTCAGAGCCAGAATCTTTTTTTTTTTTTCTTTTTTTTTTTTTT